TCCATTGCATATATATATATATATATATATATATATATATATATATATACATATACACACCACATCTTCTTTTTCTATTCATCTGTTGATGGATGTCTAGGTTCTTTCCATAGTTTGGCTATTGTGGACATTGCTGCTATAAACATTCGGGTGCACGTGCCCCTTCGGAGCACCACGTTTGTATCTTTAGGGTATATATCCAGTAGTGCAATCGCTGGGTCATAGGGTAGCTCTATTTTCAGTTTTTTGAGGAAGCTCCACACTGTTTTCCAGAGTGGTTGCACCAGCTTGCATTCCCACCAACAGTGCAGGAGGGTTCCCCTTTCTCCGCATCCTCGCCAGCATCTGTCATGTCCTGACTTGTTAATTTTAGCCATTCTGACTGGTGTTAGGTGGTATCTCATTGTGGTTTTGATTTGTATTTCCCTGTTACCTTGAACTGGGCACAGGCTGGGTGAGCTCGGAGCGCGGCCAGAGACCAGGGAGACAGAGTGATTGAGCGCTTTCCTCCAAGCGCGCGGCTGGAGGCCGGGGAGACGGAGCGACCGAGTGCTCCTCTCCAAGCGCGTGTGGCTGGAGGCTGGGGAGATGGGAGTAACCGAGCGCTTTTCTCCAAAAACATCTTTTAAGAATGAGAATAAAAGGGGCTCCTGGGTGGCTCAGTCAGTGAATTGTCTGCCTTCAGCTTAGGTCATGATCTCAGGGTCCTGGGATGGAGCCCCACATCTGGCTCTCTGCTCAGCGGGAAGCCTGCTTCTCCCTCTCCCTCTGCAGCTCCCCCTGCGTGTGCTCTCTTGCTCTCTCTCTCAAATAAATAAATAAAATCATAAAAAAAAAAAAGAATGAGAATAAAATAAAAAATATTTCATAGATTTCATAGTAAGAAATAAGTGTTATAGAGCCTCCGGACCCTAACTATAAGAAAGTCCAATACATGTATCTCACATGGAGCCATCATGCCATATCAAAGCTGACTTCTAAAAATCAAGTAGGAGGAAAAAAAAAATCAAAATAAATGAGTGAACATTAACACAACACTGTAGAGAACAGGAAGTCTGATTTGCGAGAAGAGAACAAGCTAGAAGTAATAAACTGGACAAAAGTATCTTATAAAATTTCATAGTATGATCAACGGTCAAGTCTTCTCAGCTTCAGTACTTATTACATTTCACTGCAGACTTTATTAACTACCAAAGCTAAACTGGGATAATAATCAGGAAGAACTTCACGAGAAAAAGATAAAAATAACGAGAACAAAATGATTAAAAATAAATAAATAAAAATAAACAAAACCAAAGGCAAAAAAGGAATATATAAGAAACAAGGAAGAGTGAATGAAAAAACTGACACAAATACACAGTCTTAGGGACAAAAATTATGAAACTGGATCTTTAAAAACGTCCTTTAAATGTGGTACAAAAGTGATAAACATAAGGATAAAGAAATGCTGAAATTCAGAAGGTTGTAGGAGAGACGTAGCAGGCGAGAGATCAACCACAGAGCTGGCTAGGTTGTACCAATATCCATCGTATCACAAGCTAAGGAACACTAACCCGGAGATAAAGGAGGCCACTACCTGACTGTTCAGTTCTATTGCGAAGAAAGACACACGCGTAAATGCATCGTGGCTTCAAGTAGCCACAGAGCATGTAAAGCCAACTTTACCAGAACTGCAAGGAGAAATAAACTGACCCACTGTCACACTTGGAGACCTGAACACACCTCTCAGAAGGTAATAATCAGAAAACAAAAAATTAAGCATACAGAAGATTAACCAAACACATAACAAGCATCACCTAAAAGATATATAGAAAACACCACATGCGACAATTCCAAAACAGACATTGTATTCAAATCCATGTGAAACATAAAACAAACAAACAAAAAAAGAGACTATACTCATGGCTGTAACTGCTCTCTACACCAAATTTCAAAGTTTTTACCATATAGATGACATTTTCTGACCAAATTAGAATAAACTTAGAAGGATTATCTTCCCACATAAAGGAGAAAATTTCAAAATTATTCTTCTAAGAAACTCAGGAATCAAATAATGGGAAACAGAAAATTCTGTGAATTGAATGACCATGAAAATACTTACAGAAAACTAGAAAAAATGTATACCCTTACATGTTTATTTGAGAAAATGAATGAAGAACCAAATGCACAAGCTTATCAACCGAAACACATTAGAAGTTTACAAACAAAGCACATCTTCTTCACCGAAATACAGAAGGTAGGGAATAGCCAAGAAAGGACTACCAATCGATGAGTCAAAACAGACATATGACAGTGGGTCACAAAAGCCAATCTCTGACTCTTTCGATATTTGCAACTGAATGAACATCTGAAATAGGTCAAAGAGAAAATCAGGTAAGGTACAAAAATATCAGGAGTCCAACATTAGGCCATCCTACAACAGGCTGCAGACATTAAAAGGGTAAAAAAAAAATCATCATAACTTTATACCAATAACCTTAAAAAATTAGAAATGAAAAATTCTTAGAAAAATGTGACAGTAGCTAGGAAATATGAAATTATAACTCAGGAAAAAAGCAAAATGTATTGCACCACAAAAGAAAATTTTGTTTAAAAGGAAAACATTGTTTTTATAGGTATCAGAGAGAGTGTTTCTATTAGTCAGACTAAGCCTACCGTCCATTTTGTTTATCAAGGACACTCCTGGTCCTGACTAGTGTCCATCCCTCCCTGTGCCTTAATGGCCTCCATGTCCCTCCACCAGATGGAAAAGAGGAAGAGGAAATACTCAGCAGGCAGCAGAGACCACAACTTCCTAGGGGGAGGCTCCCACCCTGCACAGGGGTGCCTGGTGCAAATATAGTGAACAGGACAGTGTTTAGGGAACCTAAGTGAGGACAGAGTAGCTATCCTATCTGAAAACAAATCCCAATTCCTGAGCTTGTCAGTGCAGAGTACCAACACCATGGACCAGACTGGCCAACAGAACACTCGAGCCTCCCCTCCCCTTTGGCCTCATGTGTGCATTGACTTGTTCGTACTCCCTGAGAGAAAGCTGGTTCCCAGAAGTTCCTCAGAGGTCTAAGTGGGGTTATTGGTCATCTACCCAATCTCTTCCCCTGTCCCTTGACATGGAGCATCTCAAAACATTCCTTGACCTGCACTGCAGGCTCCACAGAGTCTCCTGTCTCTGCTGACTCTCTGGCAGCCACCATGTGTGCAAGGACATGGTGAGTCCACACCAGCCCAACCCATACCCCAAGGGCCCCCTAGGAGGCCCTTCTTCCTCACTGTGGGTATTTCTGCTCTCCCCTACATACCGTAAAAATTTCGGGGTCTACAAGACTACAAAAATAATCCAGAATGCAGGAGAGGGGAGCCCACCCAGTAGGAAGCAGAGGAAGGACTAGACTGCTATGTGGGTTGCTAGAAGGCTACATTCAGGACCACGTGTGAGTGGCTGGATGGGCAGATGGAGAGCACCCCTTCAGCTATCTGTGTGCTCCTTAGAGAAAAATCCTCAATCCTCACCACCCACCTCACTCCGTCACGATGGAGTCTTCAAAGACCTCTGGTATCTGTCCCACTTCATACATACACAATGGGCCAACACATTCAAAAGAACAATTAGAACACTTGGGACCTCTGAAAGGCAGAGGAAATGACCAGCGTACCCAAGGATCTCAATCTCTACCTGCCAGGAGGCACCCTGGTCAGAGACACAGCAGAGAGCAGCATCTCTTGAAACTCTCTCACCACAAACAAAGCCCCACTGTCTCTTTCTCAGAGATGCTTGAGTCCTGCTCACAGAGGAGGGTCCTGTTCTCAATGGGAGAATGGGTTTCCCACCGCAGCTGTCACTGGTGTCCCTCCCTCTCTTCGCAAGCAGCCTTTCGCTCCCAATCAGAGAGGTAATCTCTGCCAAGCAGCCATATCCCCACTGTTCCCGCACCCAGCAAGAGACACGTGGAGGAGAGGGGGCAAACAGACAGAGAACACACACACCCCCGCAGATGAGGGTCTCTCTGTTACTACTGCTCTAAATTTACCATACTATTGTTTTCAGTTTGTTTTCCCATGTTTACCACACTCTGCAATCAGGTATTGACCCGTTTACTTGTTCATGATCATTATGTTCCCCACAGCCAGCCAAGGACTAGTCAGACAGACAAGCCCGCTGCTATAGCTCCAGTTCATAGCAAGGGCCCTGGCACAAAGCATGGATTCAATCAATATTTGGGTCAGCAATTAAAATTACCTTCCTGTATCTAACCACCTGCACAAAGCATTCTCCTCTTCCCTGAATTAATCAGCTCAGCATGTTTGATTCATATAAATTTGGACGAGCAATCCATGAGGCTCCAGGCCAGGGCCCCTTTCCCATCTGCACCCTCTCTATTCACACCAGTCCCAGCACCTGTCATATTACTGGCTTCAAGTGTGGCTCTTCCAACCAACACAGGAACAGGAAAAAGATAACTAACAGACCTCTAGGGCTCTTAATCAACAGAATCCAGAGCCCACCCCCATCTAGGTCATGGTCAGAAACCAGACTGATCAGGAATTCCTAGTCCATCCTGCAATAGGGTGGGACTAGGGACTTCAGGAAGACAAAGAGGGGTTAGCCCAAGGCAGCTGGGTACAGGATGTAGCGATAAGCTTCAGCCATAGATTAATCCTTGTTCCTTCCCATCTTCTGCCCCTCTGTGAAAACAGAGCTGAGAGAGAGAGACCAAAGGTCCTCCTTCCTTCCATACCTACAGTCCAGGGACACCAGAGTCCAGAGTCTGACCTGCTCTAGGTTCCTTTCCCATGTTGTTGTCCCTCAGGAAGCCCAGGTGAGCTCGGATCTCCAGCAGGCTGTGGGCCATCAGCCTTGGGGACAGAGACAGGGTATGGGTGGTGGGTGAAGCCTATCTCCCAGCTTCTTTCTCCACCTCCCTGGCTCCCAGCCCATCTCTCATTCACCTTGGATGGCATACTCCTGTCTTCCCCTATGGTATCCCCAGGGTTCTGTGTCTGTGGCTTATCCTTAGAAAGATCCAGCATCTGTGGCAGCTCTGTCTCTGCCTCGGGAAACGGCAGCTGCCCCTGCAGAGTGTATAACAGCTGGAGGAAGGTCTGGTGCCTGGAAGGAGAGGGATAAAGAGAGTTGTAAAGAAGGGAAACTGGACTGGGCTGAGTCTGCAGCTCACACTCCCAACCTCACCTGTGAAGTGTGTCCCTCTTCTGCCCCGCCTGCTGTTGCAGACTTCCAAGCTCCTGAGACAGTTGCACAAGCTCCTGCTGAGCTCCTCTCTGCCGCTGCCTCACCTCTGCAGAGGCTTCTGCCAGATGCTGCAGATGCTTCTCCTACCGGGAATGAGAAGGCAAACGTGGCTCCTTGGATGCGCAGGTCTTACAGCCATTTTCTTAACCCCTCCAGGCTAGACCCGACTTGGGGCTCAGACCCACAGATGGAAAGGGGGACCCTAGCCGCTTTAGGCAAAACCGGGGCCCTAGAGAAAAACGAATGAGCTATTCCAGTGGGAAGCATTCTGAATGAAAAGGGCAGATAGGATAACTTATCTAGCCTGCTAGGTGACATGCGGCCCTGTAAGCACTTGCTCTGCTAACAACTTCATCAACTGAGACCCATACAGTAGGTGCTAACCTCACTTCCACTCCAGACAAGACTCAGATGCACAGGAAGTGAGGGAACTGCCCAAAGTCCTAACACGGGACGTGGTGATGCTGGCCCCTATGCTATAATGCCTCACACGAGAGGAGGGGAAAGGAGGTCCTCCAGGCAGAGGATTTAGCTCATGCAATGACATGGTGGTGGGGAAGGGAGATTTTCCTAGGGATGTGGACCCACCTGTTGCAGCTGCCACTGCTTCTGGGCTGTTCTCAGTCTCTCCGTGGCCACTCGCTTCTGCAGGGAAACAAAGGAGAGGAACAAGGAGAGGAGGAGTGTTTTTCTGGTTGGATTCTGGGAGGTGGCCAGTAGGCTCAGCCCAGCATGCGTGCCCTTTCCCTCCTCTCTGCCTGGCTCACCTTGGCCTGGAGCTCTTCCAGGGCTCCGAGGAGCTGCGCCCGCTTCCTCTGGGCCTCCACCATTGTGGGCAAAGCCTGGGTCAGGGCACCTGTGATGGCTTCCACATGCTCCTGGTAGGAGGCCTTCAGCTCTTTCCATTGCTCCTTGGCTGCAAGTGCCTTCTGCCCTGAAAGGATCCACCAAAGATAAGAACATAAAGGAGACTAACCTGCCTGCCTACAACACTGGGACCTCTGCTTTCCCATCAGCTGACCCTACTGACAGCTCCTTCCTTCCCCATCCCACCCCCCTGCCTACTCACGGCTGGTGTCTTCAGAAGCCAAGGGGTCTAGTCCCTGGACAACATCCTCCTGAGCCAAGAAGTTCTGCAGGAAGTCTACTACCTGAAGCTGGCTGCAGAGCAGCTTGTCCTTCTTCCGGGAGTCCTGTTTGGAGAGCAGGCAAAGTCAGGGAACATCATTACCTGTATGCCCTGGCAGGCTGAGACTGCCTTCCTGGGTGCTCACCATCCCCACCACCCACTAACCCGACGAGAGGACCCAGGAGAGCCGCCAGCAGCCAATCCTGCACATACCATCACAAACTCCGCCAGGATCTGGGCCGGCAGCTCTGCCTCTTCTTGCCGGCCGATGGGCTCCACGATGTCTGCCAGCTTGGCCAGGACCCTGAGCGAAAGAAGATGGGGGAAAAGGGAGACTCCTTGGGTGCTAATCCTGACCAAATGGAATGCAGACACATACATAGACCTGTACCAATGATGAGTCTTGCCCTGACCGGTAGGCCTGCAGAGCTGTTGGGGAGCAGGAACGGCGTGTGTATAAAGGCAATACACGCCCTGAATAAGTTAAGCAGAGCAAGGGGAATCAGGGCAGCACAGGGACAGGAAGACAAGGGGCTCCCGCTCCGACGTGCAGAGGGAGTCCCAGGCAGGTAGCAACCTGGGGCAGAGTCTGAGGAGTACAGTCCAGGCTCTCCGGGTCCTTCCCCTCTGGGGGCTAAAGCGCCCCCAGGCAGGCAGGGGTGGGGAAGTGTGCCTGGACGGAGGGGACACAGAAGCTAAGTGACCCTCCCACACGCGTCCTGCGTGGGCGCAGCTAACCGCGAGGGGACGTGGAGGTGCGCGGGGACATGCCGTGGTGTGCGCGCGCGGGGAGAGGGAAGTCCCTCCCGCAGTCGCCGAGGCCCGCACAGCTGGGTGCCGGGACCACCGGGGATCCGCATGGTACGGCAGGGTCCTCCCCTCCCGCCCCCGGCTGTCACCTAACTTACTGAAGCGCTGGGGCTCGCACCCCGGCTTCCGGCCCCTCCATGTCTGCGGCCGGTGGGCTTCTGCTCTTCCGCCGCCAGCCCGCAATGCCCTTTGGATTCGCCGCGGCTGCGCGCCTGGGCAAGCGATTGGCTGCGGGGCCAGGGGGCGGGAACCAACGGCCAGCGTGCACTCTGATTGGTAAGCGCCGACGAGCGAGCCGTTGGAACGCCGGATGTTTGCGCCGGCGCCCTGGTGGCCGGCGCGCCGAGTTCTGCGCCTGCGCGCAGCCCGTAGCCGGTGCTGTAGGCTGCGAGTGTTCTGTGGGCCCGGACGAGGGAGCGCGGCCGCTTCCCACTTGACGGGGCTTGGAGAATAAGTCTCTGAGTTCGGGGTTTAGGGGAGTCCTTAAGCCCTGAGTTCACTTTAAAAATTATGTTGTGGTAGAGGGAGAACACTGGGTGTGCTTTCACAGATGCTTGGCATTCTTAGGAAAGAACAGGAATCCTAGAGGCGCAGGGGGCCGCTGATGGCAGCGCCGGAACGCGTCGCTTTCTGACAGACGTGTCCGAGGAGGCGTCTCCCCGACCCACCAGTGCCTGCTCGCCACTCCGGGGCTCCGCCCGCCGGCCGGGGTCCGCCCCGGACCGCGGCGGAGAACCTGTTCCGCGCTGCTTTTGGTTAGCTGAGTGCATGGCACCGTAGGCCCCAGGGGGGCTGCGGGGAAAGGACGTAAGGAACTGGAAGACGCTGAGAGGCAGGAACCATGATTGGCTCCTCCCGGTAAGGCCGAAAGCTGCACCAGCTAGGGGCCCTGGGTAGAGCGCTCAGACCGGCATGCCTGAACAGCAGCCTTCAACGTACGGTTTACAATGTCTGGCATCCAGTTAAAAACCACAAAGTTTGCAGAAAAGGAGGAAAAGAAAAACCATAATGAGAAGAAAAAGAAATCACTGATCAGAAAAGAAATAAATGTTAGAATCAAACAGGCAAGGAAAACAGTTACGTTCAAAAAAATAAGCAGAGGTATAAAAAGTATAAAAAGGTTAGGATGTGCAGAGAGTGAAATGCTGATGTGGCTGGTGGGAATATAAAAATGATGCATCTGCTCGGGAAATACCAGTTCCTCAAAATGTTAAACACCGGGTGACTATATGGACCCCAGTTCCACTTCTAGGTATATATCCAAGAGAAATGAAAGCGTGTTCGCAGAAAACTTGTACACGAGTGTCCACAGCAGTGTTATTTACAAGGGCCCAAAAGTAGAAGCAACCCAAATGTCCATCAGCGTGACCTGGAAAACAAAATCTACATCATTCAATGGGGTATTTTCCAGTAAAAACAGAAAATGAGGTATACGTGCTTAAGCACAGATGAACCTTGAAAACATTGTGCAAAGTGAAAGAAACCAGTCACAAAAGACGATATTCTATGATCTCACTTAAACAAAATGTCCAGATAGGCAAATCCAAATGAGAAAGTAGACTAATGGTTGTCCAGGGCTAGGATGGGGATGAGAGCGCTGGTGGGGCCCAAATTGGGGGTGGCTAGGGTATGCAGAGGGTCTACAAAGGGACATGGCGTTTTTTGTAGGGGATAAATTAAAATGTCCTAAAATTAGATTATGGAGAGGTTACACAATTGTATAAAAAAATAGCAATTCGGTTTATACTTTAAATGAGTCTCCATAAAGCTCTTTAAAAAGTTAATCAGAGGGGCACCTGGGTGGCTCAGTGGGTTAAGCCTCTGCCTTCGGCTCAGGTCATGATCCCAGAGTCCTGGGATCCAGCCCCGCATTGGGCTCTCTGCTCAGCGGGGAGCCTGCTTCCTCCCCTCTCTCTCTGCCTGTCTCTCTGTCTACTTGTGATCTCTGTCTGTCAAATAAATAAGTAAAATCTTTAAAAAAAAAAAAAAAAGTTAATCAGAGGGGCGTGTCGGTGGCTCAGTTGGTTAAGCCTCTGCCTTTTGTTCAGGTCATGAACTCAGGCTCCTGGAATAGAGCCCCACATCTCTGCTCATCAGGGAGCCTGCTTGTCCCTCTCTCTCTGCCTGCCTCTCTGCCTACTTGTGATCTTTGTCTGTCAAAAATAAGAAAAATCTTAAAAAGTTAATCAGAGTTATGAAACATATAATAAAGACCTAAATCAAACTTGTGAAAACTACAATGGTGAAAACTACAATGTGAAAGATGAAATAGGTGAGTAGCAGACTAAACATTACATAAAGAAAAAAAATGAAATTGAAGACTTCAACTTAGAAACTAAGATAAATTATAGAAAGTTAAAATGAAATAAAAAGAACAAAATAACAGTAAGCTGTGGGACAGTTTGTAAAGCTTAATATACTTAAAAAGGAAGTCCCTGAAGGAGGCAAGAGGACAAAAACTAATAATGACCAAAAAACTTGAAATTTGATGAAAACTGTAAATTCACAGTAACATGAAGAAAACTAACCAAGACCTACATAGTTGTGTAGCTTGAAACCATTGATATGAGAAAATCTTTTTATTTTTTTTTATTCTTGAAAGCAGCTTGGATGGGGGGGGCAGGGAAAGGGCATGTTATATACAAAGAAAATAATGATATAGTAACTTTCCCTTTGCAAGTAATGCAAGAAACACCAGAGTGAAGCAACATCTTTAAAGTACTGCTAGAAAATAAATTAGTAAACATATAAATAAATAAATAAATAAACTATTGCAGAACCTTCCAGAAAAAGAATGTTAACTAAAGACACATTCAGACATACAAAAGCTGAAGGAATTTATCATTAGCAAATCCACAATACAAGAAATGTGAAAGAAGTCTATTAGGCAGAAGGAAACAACATTAGATTGAAATCTGAATATATACAAAGAAATGAAAAACACCAGAAATAGTAACTACATGAATAAAAATGTATTATTTTAATACTTAAATCTTTTTTTTAAAGATTTTATTTATTTATTTGACAGAGAGAGACACGGAGAGAGAGGAAACATAGGCAGTGGGAGCGGGAGAGGGAGAAGCAGGCTTCCCGCTGAGCAGGGAGCCGGATGAGGGGCTCAATTCCAGGACCCTGGCATCATGACCTGAGCTGAAGGCAGTCGCTTAACAATGGATCCACCCAGGTGCCCCAATACTTAAATCTTTTTTAAAAAGATAATGAACTACAGGGGCACCTGGGTGGCTCAGTTGGTTAAGCCTCTGCATTTGGCTCAGGTCATGATCTCAGGGTCCTGGGATCCAGCCTGGCATTGGGCTCCCTGCTCTGCAGGGAGTCTGCTTCTCCCTCTGCCCCTCCCCCTGCTCATGTTCTCTCTTGCTCTCAAATAAATAAATTCTTAAAAAAAAAAAAAGGTAATGAACTATGTTAATACAAATAGCAATAATGTGGGATTTATAGCATACGCAAAAGTAAAATGTAGCACACAAGAAGGGTGGGGGGAAAGAAACAAAAGTAAATTACACATTTTTGTCATTTATGTAAAGCTGCATATTGGGTAAAAGTGGACCCTGGTAAAATAAAACCATGGACTATAACTCTTTTAGAAGTGGTGCTAATATCCCCCAGGGTGACCACCAATGAGTCAGTCTCCTGTAATCCTTCCCAGTGAAACTAGGACTTGTTTCTACATGATAGAATATAGTACTGGTGGCAGGGTATTCATCTGTTGATCAGGCTACATTAGGCAAAACAGGTCACTCTGATGACGTCATTTCATGACATCATGCTCCTAAGCAAACCAGAGAGGGAGCCCTCCTGCTGGCCTTGAAGAAACAAACTGCTAGTGGTGAAAATGGGGGCGGGGTGGGGGGAGTGTCTAGGAGCAGAAATAGATTCTAGTCCATGGCTGGTGAGATGGGGCCCTCCCTTACGCAACCGCAAGAGGGTAAAGTGGTTCCTGGAAGCAGATTCTTCCCTAAATGAGCCTCCCGAAAAGACTCCAGCCAGGTTTACATCTCGATGGCCACCTTATAAGACTCTGAAAAGAATGCAAAAATCCTGTCCTATGGAAACCACCTGAAATCCTGACCATTGTGGGAGATAACAAACAAATGAGTGTTGCTTTAAGACACTGAATTGTGTGGGGTGCCTGGGTGACTCAGTGTGTTAAGGCTACTGCCTTCAGCTCAGGTCATGATCTCAGGGTCCTGGGATCAAGCCCCAAGTCAGGCTTTCTGCTCAGCGGGGAGCCTGCTTCCCCCTGCCTCTCTGCCTACTTGTTATCTCTATCTATCAAATGAATAAATAAAATCTTAAAAAAAAAAAAAAAGACACTGAATTGTGGTAATTTGTATGCAGCAATAGAAAACTAGTACAAGCAACTTCTAAAATAAGGAAGTAAGAGTTATAGCTAATAAGCCAATAAAATAGATAAAATCTGAGTAATAGTAACAAATCCAAACAAAGCAGAAAAAGGGAATAAGGAAGACGAGATGAGGGAAATAGAAAACAAATACCAAAATGATAGACTTTAAGCCTAATTATATGAATAGGTACATTAAATGGTGCCTTAAGTACACAAAAGGCAGAGATTATCAGATTGGATCTAAAAGCAAAGCAATTACATTAAGAGAAGCACCAGGGGTACCTGGGTGCTGCAGATGGTTAGGCATCCGACTCTTGATTTCCACTCAGGTTATGATCTCAGGGTCCTGGGAGGGATGCAACTGGCCGGGGTCTGCTTGAGGATTCTCTCTCTCTTTCTCTGTCTCTCAAACTCTGGCCCCCTCTCCACTCCTATGTGCTCTTTCTCTCTAAAATAAATAATCTTAGAAAAAAAAAAAAGAAATGCACTAAATATAAAGACAAATTGATCAAGTAAAAGGGTGGGAAAAATTTTGTCATGCTGACGCTAATTAAAAGAATGTAGGGTGGTTATTTTGGTATATATTCAGAGCAAAAAAAATACTACCAGAAATAAAGAAGGTGATTTCATAATGATCAAGTAGTCAGTTCATCATGTGAACTTAATACTCATAAATGTTTATTCACATCAAATCAGAGACCATCAAAATATGTGAATCAAAAACTGGCTGATTTGAAAGGAGAAATAAATCTATAGTTACAGTTGGGATTGCAGTAAGGAATTTACAATATTTGATAGAATACT